CCTTTCGTTTGTGTTTGGCGGTTCGTTTATAGTTACCAAAAACATAGATGTTTGATAGTATGCAAACTACTTAAATTGGTGGTCCTTTAGTAGTCACAGGGTCGTTCTTTGGACTCGCATATCTCTCAATCACGTTCCTAAGATCATCTTATTCTTAGCCAACAAGCATTGGATCGGTTTTACGCCAAGGGTAATCTTATTAGCAGGGCCGGCCCATGGTGGTGGGGTAGCTAAAGCAAATTTTTTTCTTTTTTTAGCCCATTAACAAAAAAGATGAATTTGGTGAATAACAAAAAAAAAATATAATTCAATAACTAAGAAAAAGTGCATATGTGACAAAATCTAAGCCATTAGATTTTAAAAAATTAATTAGTTATTGAATTATAGTTTTTTTTTGTTGGTTATTAATGCTAATTTCCCTTAACAAAACTAATCTAAATCTTCTTATTTGAGAGTTCGAACTCACAATCTACTGCCTACCAAAACCAAACTAAACAATTGTACTACAAGGAGGTTTTTACACTTTTCTTTTATTATTTTTTCCATCTGATCGATTATAACATTAAAAGCTGGGGTTACACAATGAAGATACCTGGTAGGGAAAACTCATCCGTAGCCATGCTAGTACGGAAACAAATCTCTTTGGAAACTAAACCCAAACAAAGGAAGCAAAACCCAAAAGAATACCAGGAGGCAAAACCCAAACAAAGAGAAACACAAGAAATACAAACCGATCGAATTACAAAGAAAGAAAGACAAGCACAACTCTTAAGACGAAAGACCAAATAATACACTCGGCGATACTGATGAAACGGAACCATGAACACCATCACGGAATGTGGTTGAGATAAGCTATAATCGGAAGAAGCAATGAAACCCGGACTAAGAAGAGCGACAACAAGTAGAGTAGCATCCAAATCACCCGAGAGAGCTTCAAAAGATATTCAACCCAATATCCCATGGACAAGCTGTTGATGTACATCGCCGCTTGAAATTTTATTAAAAAAATTATAGAGAAAACTGAAATGCTAAGCTGCTAGGCGAATAAAATAAAACTCGTATACTTAACCATAAAAGAGATCAACCAATACCACTTTAGAGCCAAACCAAACAACATCACACAGCCCGTCTCAAGAGAAGTCCCACCAAACAATAACATGGAGAATCACTTGCAAGAAAAGGAGAAAGGCTCGAGCAAACTATAGAACCAAATAATCATGGCATATACCAGATTACTAGGATTATAGGGCCGACCCTAACCCATCTTACCCACTTATAAGGACCAAACCTCAGCATCAACGCAAGAAACACCAGCAAAAGCGAACACAACACAAATTACCTCAGATAGTACTAGCAGCAAAGAGCCACCAACGAAACGAAGCAAAATCAAACGATCTAAGGCACCTGACCCAACGAGAGAACTCCCACTAGAGAGAATGACCAAACAGAAGCAGCTTAAGCCGGCGAGGTCCAATCAAAATCTCGATAGAGGTCCAAGCGAGAGATGAGAGCAACCGGAAGTCACACTTCACCAAACTTCCACCGACCATTAGCATAAAAAAGCCCGGAAGGAGAGAGGACCCGATACAAACATTTCCATAAGGACCTCTGACTGCAACTACAAACCAGACTTTTACACATCGAGAAGGGGAGACCAAAGCCCCCGGAACGGCGATAAACTTAGCATCGACGAAGGTCCATGGAGCAGAGAAGAGACATAAGGCGTAGAGGGATAAGGTGCAAGGACTGAGAAGACAGAGACCCTAACTGAACACCAGCTACACCCGATGGCAGCCACACTACGTTCAAAGAGCTACATATTGACGACGAAACCCCAAAATCAGAACCAAACCCAACATTTATAACACATTGAGAAACCGACCACTAGTGGCGAAGAAAGAGTTACAGCAGCCGAGAACAATCCAAACAGAGGAGCCATCGAGAAGAGGAGTCAAGGGCGAAGCAAACCTAAAACCAGATCTGGAGCAAAACCAAGTGAAATCGAAAACACAAAGACAGGAAAAGACTAAGCAGTACGTAAAGGGTGAGAACCACCGTCCGCCGGAGAAAGAGATTGGAGAAAGTTATTGAGGTGGCTAGGGGTGGCCAATTCGGGCAACT